GACGGTCTTGACGTCCTAACACAGCACCAGATTACGCTCTCTTTACTATCATACATGTGTCTTGTTTGATTTACACTATATCACAGCCTAACTCAATTACGAAATGTTCAGGTGCATTGGTGTCCTTGGGATGCTTCAGAGCTCCAGTACTATCTCAGTCCTGTCACTAGGGACGAGTCAGAGGAGTATCGCTGCAACGCCCCTCTTATTTTCTTCCACGTGGTCGAGATTCACTTGCCTGCCAGGGTCTGCAGACAGTTTAGAAGAATGACCGGCTGTCCACCACCGCTTTACTGCACCAACCAAGGATTGTATGGGTGCGTTATCGATTAATAACAAAGCTACAATTTAGAGGTGTGTGTGGTACAACTAACATCGTTTTGTTGCAGGTATGACCGCAGGAAGAGGTACAAGATCAAGGATTAGCGCGTGACACACAACACGCACATCCACTTGTGGGAGACCAGGGAACGGCAGCCGGTTGAAAGGTCCTTGTTGGTTTTGGTATTTGAGTGACAACCTAGGTGGACTAATTGTGTTTATGTGAGATACACATGTGATTAGTCCACGGTACATGTGTATGAGCAACATATGCCATGGAGGTGAAAATGGCTTGGAGATGTTGCAAAGCTCACACATGTGATGATGAAGGAGCTTATTGCACATGAGACATGACATTGAGTCATGTGATCAAGGTGGAGAAGATCAAGACAAGACTTGGCTTGATGGACCAAGGCAAGCGTGAAGGGCAAGTCAAAGGCTTTGGAGTGATGGACCGCGTGGCGGTGAAGCTTGAGCAAGACTTGGCGCCGATGGGCGGATATAGCGGTGATGAAGAGCAAGTAGAGTCAAGATCGATGAACCAATATGATCATGTGATGATATGAAGTGGATCATATCATTGTTGATCGTGTTGGTGCATGTGTTGCATCAACATTGAAGGAGATGGAATGGAATGCGCAAGGCAAAGGTATAACCTATGGCATTTCATTTCACCGGTCATAGGTGTGTAGAGAAGTTTATGACCGGGTTTAGGATAGATGGCCGTACTATCAAGAGGAGCAAACTTGTTTGCATGTCGGTCATCTAGTGCCACTCGAGTGATCTAACTTTGCATTATCGCTAGGATCGAGTGGCGTGGCAAGTTGAGTGGCTAACATCCTTTGGAAAATGATTGTGAAAATGCTAACACACATACACATGGTGGTGTACACTTGGTGGTGTTGGCACATTTACAAAGGAGGTGGTGTTTGCAGGGGTGAGATGGGTTTGGGTACCTCTCTCCCTCCCGCCGAGCTTGCGAGACGGGATTCGGCGCTTTCGGGAAAATAGAATGCCTATTTTCTATTGCGCCGGATGCAAGTTCTTGTGGTTAGCACATTGGAGCAAGGGTGATGAAGTTAGAAGTGAAAACGAGTTAGTCGCGAAGATGCTGGCGTCGGTCAACTGACCGGACGCTGGATCTGAATGCACCGGACGCTGGGCAGTCGCGTCCCGTCGAAGCTAACGTCACGATGACATGAAGTGGAGTGTGACCGGACGGCCGGCTGCGTCCGATCAAGTGTGACCGGACGCGTCCGGTCGAGGTCGGTACTTCTTTTGAAACGACCGGACGCCGGGGTTCGGCCGTCCGGCCGGTTGAAAAGAGCTTCTGCGTCCGGTCAAGTCAAGTGACCGTTGGAATTAGGACACGTGGCCGTCAGCGAGCGGACGGACGCCGAGGTCCGGCGTCCGGTCAACACGACCGGAGCGTCCGGTCGACCCGACTGTTGCCCAGTGAAGGGGTAACGGCTAGTTTAGCCCTTGGGGCTATAAATAGAAGTGGCCCTCGGCCATGGCTGGTGCTGAGCACCTCAAGGGACTTAGTGTCCATGCTTGTGAGTGCTTGGGAGCCTCCATCACACACATACTTGATAGCGATCATCCGATTGTGTGAGTGAGCGATTCTAGTGTGATTGTATCGTGAGGTTGCATCCAAAGTGGCACTAGGTGATCGAGTTTGCAGCCGGTGGTGCTTGTTACTCTTGGAGGTTGCCACCTCCTAGACGGCTTGGTGGTGGTCTCTCTGTTGAAGCCGGCAAGAAGCTTGTCTTGGCGCTCCGGAGAAGTGCTTGTGAGGGGTACTTGTGCTCGCTCGCCCATGGAGTCGTGAAGAGCAACTTTAGTAAAGCGTGTCATTGAGCTACCCTCACTCAAGGGGTAGGTTCTTGCGGTGCCGACGCGTGCGGGCTTAGCGGGTGATGCTAATTAGCCGTCGAACCACCAAGTGAGCGGTCGACACAATGGGGACTAGCGTGTTGGCAAACACGTGAACCTCGGGAGAAAAATCATCGTGTCAACCTTGTTCTTCCCGTTGGTTTGCATCCCCATTACACAAGCTTGCAATTACTTATATATATATCTTAAGCTTGTGTAGTCGCTCTTGTAATTAGATAGCTTGTGTAGCTAGCTAATTACCTTCTTGCTTGTGTAGCATAGAAGTAGCTCTCATGCGTGGCTAATTTGGTTTTAGTAACCTTGTTAGTCACATTGCTTAGTTTGTGTAGCTAAGTATTTGCGCTCTCTAATTAGGCATTGGTTGCCTTGTTATTGAGCATTGCTAGTGAGCTTAGTTAGCTTTGTGCTTTTACTTACTAGCATGTGTAGGAGCTCCTTGTTACTTAAAGTACTAGTGGCATAGGTTTGTGTGACCTTGCTCCTAGAATTGTTTAGGAGAGCTCTAGCTAGCCCGGCACCTTAGTTGCTTTATTAGTATCTTTGCAAGGTGCTAGTGAACATATATAGAGGGTGTAGTCTTGGCTAGACCGATTGTTTTAATTCGCATTTATATCGGTTAGCCGACGCGATTAATTTTAGAAAAGACTATTCACCCCCCCTCTAGTCCGCCATCTCGACCCTTCACCGGTCCATGTGGGTCCTCCACACGACCAGCACACCTTCGACGAGTACCTGCGCTGGCTTCACAGGTCTACGATGACACATATCAAGCCCCCGTACACTGAGGAGGCGATTGACGAGGACTCGGAGGAAGATGTGATCGAAGATGTGTACGACGTTGCCACTAGAGAGGACACACAGCTACAGAGAACCCCGCTACAAAGATACGTGGTAAGATACTTAAATGGTATAATTTGTTATCCATTTGGTATTAAGTATGTATACTAAAACTGTTCAACCGCGTTTCTGTACCCAGGCGACACAATTGTTGAGGCTGTCCAACGAAGCAGCGTTTCGGCTTCATGAGTCTAGAGGGTAAGGGCCAGGTGTTCTCGAGGCTTTTGTGGAGGTAAACATAAACTAGTCCGTTCTGAAAAATGTTTCTTTAGTATATATGCGTTTGGAAAATTCATTAACTTTAGCGTCTATTTATGCATAAGGTGAAGAAGAGCTGCAGGAAGCTAGCTCAAAAGCTGAGCTGCATGGACACTCCTTATGAGGAACCACCACTCCCGGTACGGTCGGGTGGCACGTCTTCAGCCTCTTTGAGGACACCAGCCGGCTCTTCTCAGCCGGAGATAGGTGCCACTTCTATGGTGTGTACACCACCACATCATAGCGCTGGGAAGGACCCTGCAATCGAGGACGACGATGACGACGACGACGACCCCCTGGGCTTTCGCAGACAGCACGATCAGTGGGACGATTGACCGTAGGACGAGATCGACATATCTCAGCTAGGTGGTGCCCCGCTTGGTACCAAGGAGCCTCATAGGTATTAACAAAGGTAGTTTCTTTAAATACATAGGCTACATGAACTAACGATCATAAATAATTCTAAGTAATCGTGCATATCATATACTTGCAGGGTACGAGCCGTACGCACCGGCGACACGACCACACCGACGTTGGCTACACTTTCAACGTGTTGCCAACAAATCTAAAGAGATAGAGGCGCCCGAGGGATCTTTACACTTCTAGATCTTAGTTTGTTAGGTCGAACTATTATTGACGTCCGAAACTTGTAGGCTTAGTTGATTATGTTATATCGAACTTATGTCAAACCAATGAAAATATTATGTGGCAGATTGTCAACTTATGCACGGATTTCATTTATTTGCTTCATATTCGTTTCAATGCGTCGCGACATCACTACATGTGAGATTAAGTAGCAACTAGTTCGGAAACCGGCAGTCCCGAGGTATCTCGATGTCGGTGGCCAGCGTATTGCGCGAGGGGTCGAGGAAGCCGGGGTCCATAGTCGCGTCGCCGCCGATCCTACAATATGGGGCCAAAAAGCCAAATAATATAAGTCCCCTTAAAATTATATTCGTTTCAATCCGATTTAATTTTTCGTAATTGATTAATTAACATGGTGGTTAACCTAATTATGAAAGACATAAAAAATCATTGCCTTATTAAATTCTCTATTCGGCCGTGAAATAAATTTAACAAAAGACAGAAACAAATTCGCTATTGATTTTCGTCAAGCAATACTTAGAATAACTCCCACTATCGGTATAGCAACATTCCGATTAAACCGTCCTGTGCACCGCACGGACGGGCGGCGCATGGCGGCAGGTGGGCTTCTTTGCTCGAAAGCAGCGGGACTAGCCTGGGTTTTATTCGGCTCTGCCGCACCACAGATCAGGGCGTGGCATTGCCATGCCAAGGTCGGTGGCGCGGCAGGCCCTGCCATATCAACAGTCAGCGAATCCGGTCTCTGCCACGTCAACTCTCTACCGCGTCACCATACATGGCGCGACTAATGCATTTGGTTTAAAAAAAACAGACAGTGTTAATTTAAAATTAGTTTTAAAGAGCGTTAAAATTAAAAAAAAATCGCCCTACGCCTCCTCAAACTTCTCCGTTCCTTCCCAGCCGGCCACGGCCACGGCCACGGCCACGTCTCGCTCGCGTCGCGTCCACCTGCTAATTTTTGGTACAGTATAAAGGGCGCCCATCGCACCGCGCTGTCTCTCATCTCTCTGGTCTCCCTCTCCATTCCGGCCCGCTCCCCATTCCGATCCCAGCGCACGGGCAGTCCAGCCCGGTTCACGCGCATGGAGTCTCTAGTAGCTGCGCTCCCCGCGGGCGGCGCGGCGGCGGCGGCGGCGGCGGCGGCGGCGGCCGTCGGCGGGCTGGTGGCCGCTGCAGCGCTCGCCGGAAAGGCCGGCCTCGCCGGGCCCAAGAAACACCTCAACGCGCCCCCAGGTCAGTCACCCGACATGATCTTGCACTCTCTTGTCTAATGCGGAGCCTGTCGTCCTGATCCTTGATTAGTCCGGTTCCTTCTTCGGGCATCTGTACAAACTGCTTTTTCTTATGTTCTTGCTGGGGTGACGGAGGATTTAATTTAAGAAGAAATTCTTTCCAGCGTTCCGAATAATAATCACGTCCCTACATTCACCTTTCTTTTTTTGCATAGAAAATTATAAATAAATTATTTCTTGCATTTCCTAGTGTGGTCGCTAATCCTAGAAAAAAAAAGGGTATGGATTTTGATGCCATGTATACTGGACCACTACCGATTACCGAATCACATTCTGAGCGTGCCTGGGAATAGTTTAAGGTTGACTGGTTGAGCGGTGCTAAACTATCTGTAGCCTGCTCTCCATTAGTGCACACTTATCACCGGATTACTACGCATGCTGCCCAACGTGCCTAACTGCCTAAATACTTTTGGTTCCAGAATTAAAATCATAACCTCGAATTAGAGCAGTTTCTTAATCTGACAATAAGACATAATTTAAGCTAATGGTAGGCTGTGTGAAATTTACAGTGAAAATTTCTTGATTCGTGGCTCACCTAACATGAACAAAACAGAAGCTTCCAGAAGTTTGTGAGTTGTGTTAAGCAAATATATGGAGTGTGGAATACTGATACATCCGCCTCCATGGCCCACCTAATTCATTGGTGTAGATCAGATCAACATCAATCTTGATCTAGTTGGGCTGTCCATAACTCTGACCTTCCACCAACTGACAGCAACAAGTCAAAGTGATATCTTTTTCTTTGTAAAAGTTATGCAAAGCAGTCGACAGTCTTGAGATTTCCATGTGCAGTGTTGCAGGGAAATTTGTTATTTCGTTCCTTCATTTATATTTCTAAGAAACTAGTTTTTATCTAAAAAAAGATAAAATGGTGCCACTGCCATAATGCCATGTCACTTACTGAAACCCTCTATTTGCTTTTGATTAAAATGGTCATTTGTTCTGATTGAGGAACTGCTGAAAAGGAGCCTCCTGAAACTTCATCAGTACCTTTTTTTAAAGGCTTGCTCATGAATCAATTTTCCACAAGTTATTCTCTCTGCTTATTTCAGCTTCTTATTTTGATTTATAAACTGTCTAAGAGTCTAATACAAAGTATTTTGTTCCTTGAATACTTTTAAATTTTTATATTGTGTTGTGCCAAACTAAGGAAATATGTTTACATTATTACGTTGTATCCAAACCTTTGAATAGCAGTTTGCTTGGTGTTGTTTTACCATAGTATTCCTGGCAGTGAGGTAAGTGAATAACACTACCAAACTCCAGAAATCTTCATGAATATATAAATAATTTATTCTTGTAATTTGATATTGTATAAAAAAACTAGTTTGGGGCAAGCATATGCTTATTTCCACGTAGAAACTCAAAAATAACAATAACATAATATGGTACCAGGTTTAGCATTTAATGAACCTATGTTCTTATCAAATATTACAGATTTTCTGTCTGGGTAAAATAACTAAACCTTCGAGTTATTTTATTTCTTTTCATGCAGCTGTCCCTGGTTTACCAATGATTGGGAATCTTCATCAGTTGAAAGAGAAGAAACCCCACCAGACCTTTACAAAGTGGGCTGAAATTTATGGGCCAATTTACACTATAAGGACCGGTGCTTCTTCTGTAGTTGTGCTCAATTCAGCTCAAGTAGCCAAGGAGGTTAGTTGGAAGTTGTGTGTTTTCATCTTTTGTGGTTCCTTAACCTATAACATTGCGATTGGCTACTATACATATTTTTTTCTCCTGAAGTTTGGGTAACAGATGACAATTGGACCTTTAGTGGTGTTACCATGATTATTGCATAATAAACTCCACACTTTTAATGTTGTCTCTTCTAGTATTTTTCTTAGCAATATCTGAGTTTCTAATGGTGATCTCCTAAGTCAAACACTGATATGAGAGTTCTGTTTGCATCCTGAAACAAAATCTTTAACAAAAAAAAGACTATTTTACAACCCTGACATTGTATGTTTTTCTCGAACACTGACATTGTATGTTTGACTCATTATTCAAAATATCAGCGTAACATCAAATTCTCCCAACTGATGAAAATAATCAAGAAAAAATATTAAGTTATTTTATTGACATAGGGTATAGTGTCATCTTTCATCCCCACAAAATTTGAAACCAAGGCTAAACTTGTATGTGGAGCAATAAAAAAGAAAAAAATTAGGGCGTGATCTGATCCAGTTTGAATAATTTGTGGTAGTAAATTGAGTCAACATTTTGTATGGGGGTTAAATGGAAAAATAAAATAGTTTAGATGGTATAAATGGGTTTCTGTTAATGATAGAGTTGATGGCCAGGTCCGTAAAGGCTTAAATTCGGTCATCATCCTAGGTGCTTGGGCTATCTGGACTCACCACAACCGGTGTGTTTTCGATGGCATTTCCCCTTTTCTGACTGGTTTTATGCCACTAGCTTTAGAGGAGTTGAGGTTTTGGAGTTTGGTTAGGATTTGAGATGTGTCTTATCTCGTTGCCCTTGTGCCGGTTTGTATTTAAAGTTTTATTAATTAGTTGCGTGAATTTTAGTTCTACAGTGTTTTGTGTGTGTGTCATGTGGGGGCGCATCTACACCAGGCACCGGAGGGCCCGCGACGTACGCAGGGCTGCGGAACAAGCAGCACGCGCGGGGAGCGCGCACGGTGACATGCAGGGCCAGGCCACCACCAGTGGCTAAGTTAGGAAAGACAGCGTAGCTTTCTATTTTCAGTTCCTAAATTCCAGGAGCGTGTAGCTCTGATTGGTTGAGGCCGGTGGCCATATATTCCAGTAATCGCACATTGGTTGGGCAAGCAAGATTATTATCCCATCTAATCTCTCTCTCTCTCTCAACGAAAGCCTACGGTAGAGGGGCAAAACCTCGCCGGAGAAGACGGACCGAGGCTACGATCTCCGTAGCCGAGGGCCAGCTACCCTAGGGCTCGACGCCCTTGACAACCTGGTATCACGGTCCCGGCGATCCTCGCCATCTCGCTCCACCTCGCCGACCCCAGCCGCCGCTCTAACCCCGCATTTTTCTTGTTAATATTATGATAAGCAGGTCTCTTGCGTGTTCGAGAAAAAAATGGTACAAATGGATTTCCTTCTTCCTATTTTAAAAACTAATCTGATGTTATCCTGGCTATAATTTTTCTTGTGATGGAATGAGCCTTTTTGCTTCAAAGACATACCAGGATAAAAGTTATAGTGTTGTTGTAATATTGTTTCTTCTTACATTTGCCAAAATTAATATGACAGTTATTTTGGTCCTGCATTTTACAGGCAATGATTGCAAAATTCTCATCAATATCTACTCGAAAGCTATCTAAGGCATTGTCAGTGCTCACCCATGACAAAACTATGGTTGCTACAAGTGACTATGGTGACTTCCACAAAATGGTTAAGCGTTATGTCATGACATCCATGCTGGGTACTTCTGGCCAGGTATAGGTTACAATTTTGACATCACACAATTGTAATAACTGTTCTTCAGTGTCAACCACGACTTCAATCAACTGAGGTCTAACAATGCTGTGATTGCACATAACATCAGAAACAATTTAGGGACACAAGAAACATGATGGTTGACAACATGTTGAACACTTTCCACACATTGTTGACCGATGATCCAAATTCTCCTCTGAACTTCCGTGAAGTCTTCAAGAATGAATTATTTCGCTTATCCCTGATTCAAGTAAGTCTACATTTAGTGTGGTTGTTCATGGTTGCTCCATAAATTTTTATTACCTTTGTTCATAAATAGATGATATCCTAGAGCTTGTCAAACTTTACAAACTTTTCCCACTAATTGTCAAGGGCCTTGTCGTTGAAGGTAGGAGGCCCTCGGCTACGGAGGTCGTAGCCTCGATCCGTGTCGTCTCCGGTGAGGTTTTCCCCCTCCACCGTAGGCTTAGTTGAGAGGTAGAAGGAGATTGGAAATAATGATATTGCTTAATCCTCAAGGTGCCGATTACAATCTCTTAATAGCCTCTGGCTAAACAGCCATGCCTAGAATTAAGGAAAGCCAAACAACTAATTTGGAAAGGCAAACAACTAATTGATCCTATCTATTCTTAGCCACTACCAGTAGCCACCACGGTGGTCGTTTATGGGTGGCCCTCCATTAATTTTATAACGTGCGTCCCCATGTAAGCAGTGCGTCCTCGGCTGGGTTTGGTACTTGGCGGTGAAGGCGTGTGTCCTCCTGTAGTGAAGCCGTGATCCCCTTCCATTGGATCGAGGTGGCGGACACCTGGGAGGCGTGCTTTGACCGCATGCTCTGGAACCACCGCACGTGGTGGGCGGTAGGCAGGGCGGAGGAGCATCCGGTGGTGCGCCATGGAACTTCTTGAGAAGACCCACGTGGAACACGTCATGCGACTGGCGCGGCGGAAGAGCAAGAGCGAGCAAGCGACGTCGTTGATGAGCTCGGTGATGCGGTACGGCCCGTAGAAGCGTGGGCGCAGCTTGCCGGTAGCGGACTGGGACAGGGAGGCCGTCGGGCGATGACGGAGACGGGAGCAAAGATCGCCCACCGTGTCGCGCGACGACGGTGGGTCTTATCGTAGTGGCGCTTACGGACTCTCTTGAGCTTGCTCCGGTAGCTGGATGTCGGCGAGGAATTCATCCGTTCCTCCGAGGACTTGGCAGCATGGCCACCTCGGTGTCACTGGCGCCTCTGACCGGATGGATGGAGGTCCCGGCCGTACACCACTTTGAATGGAGTATCGCGGGCGGGGATCGATAAGCGGTGTTGAAGGCGATACTCGCCCCATACAGGAGCCATCTGCGGCATCGCTTTGGCCGGTCACCGATGAGGCATCGCAGAACATGATGATGACGCGGTTGGCCGACTCGGATTGCCCATCGATTTTGTGGGTGGAACGCCCGTCGTCATGTGGAGCCGGGTGCCCACTAAAGCGCATTCGCGCCAAAAGGTGGAGGTGAAGACCGTGTCCCTGTCGACACGATGGAATGCGGCACCCCATGGGCAGACGATCTCGGCGAAGAACACTTGGGCGACGGACTTGGATCTACGGGTGGGACCGATGGGAGGAAGTGGCAATACTTGCTTTGAATCTGTCGACGACCGTCGGGATGATCGATTTCCCGGATCCACAAAGTCGAGGGCGATGTCGGTCCACACACCTTCGTCTAGAGCCCGCCGGATGCAAATGTGTTCCGATTTATAAGCGGCGGCAAGTCGCATGCCCGCACCCAATCTGCGCACAAGCTTTTTTTCATGTTAGGAAATGGAAGTCGCGCGCACCGATTTTTCTGTCAGACGCCGTGTCCCTCCGCATGGACAGCCGCCAGCAGCTTCGAGGCAAACAGCGGGACGCCGGCGGGATATCTGACCGCCATTGAACTGAATGAGCCCGTCCACTGCGCCCGAGGAGGCCGCGAGAGCGGGTGCGCGAGAATCATGCTATGAAGGCATTTAGGGCGGGATCCGTTGGTTCGTGCTTGGCGGAGCGGTCGAGGAAGTCGAAGTGGGGGCGAGAGGCGATAACCAGGACCCTCCGTCGGCGCAGATGTTAAGCATTCCGCCACAAGATTTGTTGTCCCCGGCTTGTACTCGACGGAGAAATCAAAGCCAAGAGCTTCCCACCCAATGATCTCATGCGGAATTGTAGCAAGGCGTTGGTCAGCAAATAAAATGATCGGTCTTCACGGTGAACAAAGTCGGTCGCCAATGCGAGCTGCGTGCACGAGACCAATTCATATTGGCGCTCGATCTGATGTTATGAAAATACCGGTATTGCCCAATGTTCGCACTCGACGATGAAGGCCTTGGAGAAGTCCGGCATGGCGAGGATCTGGGTGAGGGCCCGCGGCTTGAGGGCCTCGGCCCTCGAAACCCGACCACGACCAGAAACCGTCCTTCTTCAAGCAGGCGGTGGCGGTCTTGCAATGTGCCGTGAGTTGTGCAATTTACGGTAGTAGTAAGCCGAGAGAAGCAGCAATGGGATCGCCATGCCTGCACCGCCTGCACCTTGCCACGCTGTCTGGGAGATGACATGGCGACCAGGCGATGGAGCGCTTGAAATTGAGGACGGCGCGGATGTGTCGAAGGTGATCCGCCCATGCGCGGTCACAGATTAGTATGTCATCAAAAACACAAGAACGAACCGACGAAGAACGGTAGGAGAACATCATTCATCTACATGCGTTGCCTAAGCGGCATGACGAGGAACTCGTGAGATTCTTGTGGATGTCGGTGGCCGCGCATCCGACTTGGTGGTAGCCCGAGCGGAGATCAAGCTTGGTGAAGAACCGCGCCCGTGGAGTTCATCCAATCGTCGGCGACGGGGATGGGAAAAGCGTCCTTGACCGTAATCGCGTTGAGAGCGCGTAGTAGTCGTATGAAACGCCACGACCCGTCTTGCTTCTTGACAATCGCTGCATGAGGACGATGCCTACGCGATCATGGTACGCTCGGTTCATCCTTGTGGGCGGCGGGGTAGCGATAAAGTCGTCGCAACCCGTGTGCCCCCGCTTGAGGGCCTTTGAAGAGTCAGTGACTTCGCCAGCACGCCTCCAGCGGCAAGTGGTGGCGGCGACGGCGGCGGCGCAGAACACGTCGACCAAAGACACCACCCGGTCCCTGCCGAGCAAAGGACATGGTGCGCACCGAAGTCCCACGGATCTATGGTGACTTCCACATCCGCATTAGTCCGAAAAACTTCCCGGCGATGGTGATCGGCGCGACGTGGCGCGCCTCAGACTGGAGCTTTCGCCGTTGTACAGTAGTGATGAGGGCGTGGCTTGGCTGGACTGAGGTGGATGCGCGCCTCCTCCTGGCGATGAAATGCGCGAAGACCCCGTGTCGGGAGGAGGGCGTCGGCGTGGACGCCGCCCACCCGCACCTTGACCTGCATGGTGTCACAAGGAGGCACCGACAGCCGGGCGAGAAAAAGGGGGCCTCGACAATGCCGGTAGGTGACCCCACGATGTAATAATGATTTTCGCTCCTCCGTCGAGAGGCGTTTGATCGGCAGGCACCCTCTGCTGCCGCCGGTGGTGAAGCGAGGACTTTCCACTCGCCGAGCTCATCAACTCCACTGCTTGTCGGATGATCCGCAAATTGGCCGGCGGGGAGGCCTCCGTGAAGAAGGCTGCTTCTCCTGCAGGGCCGGCCATGGCGAAGCGCTGGAACATCAGTAATCGGTGCGCCGACATTCATGAAGTTGAAAGAAGCAAGCGAGCGCAAGGCGGCCCAAAACGCAGATGGCAGATCCTTGAAGTGGTTCCACTTCGCGCCCTCGTCTTCCCGGAGTGGTAGTACACATCCGCGCCACATCCTCCAAATTGTACGAGGCCATCCGACCTTCTCTCCTCCATGATTTCTCTGTTGGTGGAAGTAAGATTCACGGTGGTGAGGAAGATCAACGGGTCCTCGTACCATCGTGAAAGCCGAAGAGTCCATTTTCGGTCGGTGTGGTGTTAGTCGTCCGAAGTCCCGCCGCCCCGACGAGAAGGAGGAATTTATCCTTCTTGAAGTCGCTGACGTCCCTGATCGTGCGGTGATCGCAATCATGGAGGTCGGCGTTGGGCGGCTCCGACATGGGTGATGATGGTGGGGAAGGAGGTGGGCTGAGAAGCGGCGGCGATGGAAGACTTCGGCCAGCGGGACGATGAGGACAGTGTGACCTTGATACCAGGTTGTCAAGGGCCTTGTCGTTGAAGGTAGAGGCCCTCGGTTACGGAGGTCGTAGCCTCGATCCGTGTCGTCTCCGGTGAGGTTTTAAGGCTTAGTTGAGAGGTAGAAGGAGATTGGAAATAATGATAATAGATTACAATCTCTTAATAGCCTCTGGCTAAACAGCCATGCCTAGAATTAAGGAAAGCCAAACAACTAATTTGGAAAGGCAAACAACTAATTGATCCTATCTATTCTACTATGGCCACCCCAGCCGCCTTGGCTGGTCGCTTCTGTGGCGTGGCCCTCCCCAGCCCATGTGGCTCAAGAGCTTTCGTTTGTGTGGCGCTTGCGTCTCGCATGCATGCTGGCGTCTCACGAACGTGCGTCCCCACATGACACTAATGCACATAAAAGTATTAAGATTTAGCACATGGAAATGATATTCTGGATTTGTCATCATCAAATTTATATAAACTTTTGTAAAGAAATAACTGTTGTCGATGTAATGGAGGTAGTAGTAGCTTCCATGCATATCATGGTTAAGATTTAAGAACTTCACATTGGCCTGTATACATTTCTGAGATTGCCTGCTGCAATTTCAGGCTTTAGGTGAGGATGTGAGTTCAGTCTATGTGGAAGAGTATGGGAAGGTTATATCAAAGGAGGAAATCTACCAGGCCACTGTGGCTGACATGATGATGTGTGCAATTGAGGTCGACTGGAGGGGATTTCTTCCCATACCTCAGCTGGATTCCAAATAGGAGCTTTGAAACAAGAGTACTGACTACGGATGCTAGGAGAACTACAGTGATGCAAGCCTTGATCAATCAGCAAAAGCAAAGAATTGCACGTGGAGAGGTAACACAAAGGGATACTTCAACAATTTTGTAGAGAGAGAATATATAGAAAGGTTATTCTTGAGTTCTTAAATCAGTATAAACTCCAACGCAGACTAGGATATCCTACCTGGACTTCCTGCTGGCAGAGAATACACTGACTGATGAACAGTTACTGATGCTGGTGTGGGAGGCAGTCATAGAAGCTGCTGATACTACTTTGGTCACGACCGAGTGGGCCATGTATGAGATTGCGAAGCACCCAGAGAAACAGGTAAGCATTGAAGCTTGTTTTTCACCTTGTAGAAAGACTGTTAACTACTTATACTCTTTGGTAACCACATTTCTTTCGCACATCAGGAATACCTTTATCAAGAAATCCAAAAAGTGTGTGGCAATAAGACAGTTACCGAGGATCACCTGCCAGAGTTACCTTACTTGAACGCGGTGTTCCATGAGACCCTGAGGCGGCATTCTCCAGTTCCATTAGTGCCTCCAAGATTTGTCCATGAGAATACCAACTTGGCTGGCTATGAGGTTCTAGCCGGCACAGAGGTGAGCACAACAATGACCACTAATACTCTCACAGCAAGCTAAGTGTTGCATATTGTTGGCTGCTGGCAGGTGAAGTTCTAACACAATTCTCAAATCTGCTAGATGATCATCAATCTGTACGGATGCAACATGAACAAAAGCGACTGGGCCGATCCTGAGGAATGGAAGCCAGAGAGGTTTCTGGACGGGAGGTTTGAGGCTGCAGATCTGTACAAGACCATGGCCTTTGGTGCAGGAAGGAGGGCCTGTGCTGGCAGTATGCAGGCGGTGAACATCTCGTGCACAGCCATCGCTAGGTTTGTGCAAGAGTTTGCCTGGAGGCTCAAGGAAGGTGACGAGGACAAGGCTGACACCATCCAGCTTACAACCAACAGGCTTTACCCATTGCATGTGTACCTCACGCCTAGAGGAAGGAAATGAGCATCAGGTTACTGTACTTGTCAGTAATTTGCTGTTGCCTACAGGAGACCCACCGATGAACCAAAATGGTCTTCACACAATACTTATAGCCTTTAACAGAGTATCTATATGAAAGACGTATTTTAGGTGCTAGGAGAGATATAACCTAAATCTGAGTATCCTTTCTTCTGTGAACCTATTTACAGAAAGGGTTGTCTTTTAGATCTTGATGTTGGAGACGACAAAAAAAAAAGTATTGAACTCTTTACCTATAGCGCTGTCAAAGAACGAATGACCCAATTTTGGGTCGCGATGGAGATGCTGTGGAAGTTTCGGTTCATAGTGTACGGAGTACGTGTCCCATGTTGATCCTACGGTAGGGATTGGTCGAACGAGCTTGCCTTTACTTTTCAGGCGGTCATGCCAAATTTATCTTCCCACACATTCACGACGGGCCGGGAAGGCTGCCGGCGGGCGGGCCATGTGGAAGGCGCGGGGGAGAAGCATAATACGGAGTAGTATTTTCTTTTTCATGTATGCAAGTATTCATGGATACTGCTCCCCTATACCTCCCGTCACATGTTTTGACCGAACCGTGCTGATTATTGGAATAAATCATGATCAGACTGATGAGACGACAGCAGTGCTCTCTTTTTCTTCCCACGCCTTGCGACTCGTTTCTGTACTCCCTCAGTTTCAGAAAGATTGCAATTTTAGCATAGTATTATGTTTTTAGTATCTTAAGTTTAATTAATTATAAATAAAAAATATCAATATTTATAATATCAAATAAATACTATTAGATTAAGTATAAAATATATTTTTATAATAAATTGATTTGGAGCTATAAATATAAATAGTATTTATTAGAAACTTGGTTAAACGTGAACCATTATATATGACACCCTGCTAATAGTTTATTTTTTTGGGACAGTGGCAGTACATCTTTTTCCTTGATTGATTGACTTGAATTGCTCTGCTATTTTTGTATACAAATATACAATACAAGTATAAAAAGGAGGGCCACAGTCGCATTCCGCCACTGTAAGTCCCAGCTCCCCTCTCCAAAAAGAAAAAACAAATTATTGGACTATACTTGTGGCCGATGTTTGTTTATCATCGTCCTTAGAATAAAAATATACATGTGTGGCCACTACTTTATTATCGCTCTTAGAACAATGGTTAAACATGGTCGATATTCTATTATCGCCCTTAGATAAAATATGACTGATACGTGTGTTGACATCGTTCTTAGTCAGCGCCTCCACCAGGGCGGCCTCCATCTACTCCTTGTCCTCCTTGCCGATCTGTACCGCTGTTCCCACCAAGTAGACCGTGGCCGTGTGGTGAACACCGTTGTCGGGTTCATAAACCCAGGGTCCCTCGGGGACCGGCTTCCACGCGCCCAAGCAGACAGCACGTAACTCATGGGCCGACCTAAGAGTCTAAAAACAACAGGCCGGAAGGGCGGTCCAGTCACCGACCGGAAGGTCTGGCCGAAGAGGAACAACGCCCGCTCGTCGACTACTTCGGCCCACCTCTCCGACCGGAGCACTCGCTTCGAACTCCAGCTGCCTCCGGACGGCCTCTCCGATCGGAAGGCCTGGCCCAAGCACTACTTCCGACACCGACCCCGCGTCTTCGACCGGGGTTCACAGGAACCTTGCTCACCGCTCTTCTCCGACTGGCGCGACTAGAGCCGACTGGGGCCATCCGACCGGGGACGCCCGCTCGGAAAGGACCAGGGGACGAACGGAGAAAGCAAGCTGTAGCGCGCTAAGTCAAACCACGATACCAGAGACCATACCCTGTACGCCTGCAGGAACAATACTCTGCAACCGTCCTGACACAAATAGTATTATAGGCGCCGACATTTCCCTCTACAGTATTGTGGGCGCCATTAACTCTCATACGGTAAGGCCCCCATATGCCTCTGGGCATCGATAGTGTTGTGGGCGCCGGGATTTACTGTACCAGGTGAACATGGTGAAACTCCTCACATGCCTCTAGGCATCAAACAGTATTTGCAGGTACCGACATCTACCATTCCTAAAGAAGGCAACGCAGCCTCCCACATGCATCTGTCATTCTATAGTGACATCAACAGTGTTGTGGGCGCCTACCATTATCTTGTACCCACCGGTATGGGCAACAAAGCTCAGTAGCATATGAACCCTCACCCTCTCACTTGTAAAGCCATCCCCTTTATCTATAAAAGGGGATGCTCTCCCTCCAACGAAAGAGAGTCTTTTAGTAAAACAAACATCGATCAAGTTCACTAGCTCACAACCACAGAACCGCCGGGTTCAGACCTCAAGCACATGCTTGAACACTTAGCTCATAGCGTAGCTCCCGTCGCTCTCGGCCCTTCCGACCAGACCTCTTGTACACCCCATCTTTCTCCTTCTCGTTTGTAACCCCACTACAAACTTCGAGCACCTAGGCTCAGGAATAAAGTCACTGACCGACCCAAACTGGACGTAGGGCACTTTGCCTGAACTAGTATAAACCCTATGTCATTGAGTGCTAGGCCACCTCCGATCACAACGTACGGCAAAACTACAAATATTCACTAGTTGGTCACTTTCTGCGCCGACAGTTGGCGCCGTCCGTGGGAAAGACGTTGTATGTTCAACACTTTTTGGTCATCGGATGGCCCACTTTTCTGCCACCCTCGCCATGGCGGGCTCGGGCGATACGATTCGCTTTGGCTCGCTGGAGTTCCCCGCACTCTCACCGGCTGGGATGCGGGTTCCACCTGTCTTCGAGCCATCCCAGGCCTTCCTCTTTGGAAGCCTAGACTTTGTCACCGACCGGCTTGGCGTACTACACCTCTACGAGGAGGCTCACGTCCTGGCACCCGTCGGAGGGGCACCCTCCATTGACTCCGGGATGCACGACTTCGACGACGTGGCATCTGCGCTTCATTCCAAGCAAACTCTCTGCTCAAACCCCGCTGTGAGTAATGTACATGCTGTTATTTACTTGCTATCTTCTATCTTCCGCCAATTACCTGGAGGGATGTCGTTGTCCCCGTCGTGGCCGCCATACGGCCGGTTCCCCCATGGCCTCGTGTCTCCCATGGACACGTACGCTCGGGGGCTCCAAAATATGCCGGCGCCGCCCCCTCTCATGTCTGAGTTCGTGGGGATGGCGAGCTATGTTCCCACCTATTTCCTCGACCTCATGGATAATGACGTCGGGAGTGACGGCTCCAGCATCGGCGACGTGGCACCTAGCCACCGTCTGTCCCGGGAGTGCGCTATGGCGGACGCTCCGAGACAGCCGCCAGGGGTAACGGAGTCCTTGCAGACTCATGCCCCTCCAGGCCCTCATGCGGAGACCCCTGAGCTCACACGTGAGCACGGGGAGGAACTACGACAACAGTGGCCGCATCAGCCACCGACTACGCCAGCGCGCTCGAAGCACCACGTTGCGCCCTGTGCGCGTAGATCGGCGAGCGGTGCCCGTCAGGTCCAGCGCAACACCATGGACAGGGGACTGATCCCCCACAGTTCGCTCGGGCCGGTCAGAACATCGCCACCACGGCAATGCTCCTGCGCGGCCTGGCCGAGCCGAACGACCCTCATGAACAGGCGATCCACCAGAACCTTCGGGCACTAGTGGAGACCATCGCCGTTCAACAAGCAGAGTGCTCTGTATCACGATGTCGAGTCGTGGCCACGCTCCTCGTCAGGGGAACGGGGACGCAGCAGGTGGGTCGCTCCACCCGATCGCCGCTACAATCGTCGAGCGTGGCACAGGAGGCCGCATTGGCACTTCATCTTAACTTGATGACCGCTCCACACTAACCACCAGTATACGCGCGGCTCGGACCAAACCGAGACACACGCAGCAGCAACTGGAGTCCTAGCCCTGATGGCTCGGGACCACGGACCTTTGTCCAAAACCTCCAACAAACGTCGCTCCTGTCGTGCTCCAACGGAGGCCAGGGCAAGGCCAAGGCCAAGCGCCAGGATCAGGATGAGGGCCCCTCCACGCAGAGAGGGAAAAGAATAGAAAGAATCGCTGCCGACCGGCCAACTCCGTGTTGGTCACCACGGCTGATCATGCGGGCACGCAGCCCCAGCAGGACCCTCCGGGCCACTTCCACGAGCTCATGGAGAGCCCGTGCACCAACCATGACTACCCCATAAAACACCTCTATAATGACTGCCAGCTCCTCAAGCGCCTTCTGCGGTAGGCCGGCAGGCCAAAGAAAAAAAAGGCGAAGAAGCAGCAACCGAGAAAGGGAGCATAGCGGGCAAGGATCCGGACGACTGAAGAATGAAGTGATCCAACTGGACGCCTACCGATCGAAGGACAACAACGACGCCCTTCTCTTCGAACGCTTGGAACAGCTATGTCGCTTTTCCCCCTAAGTTTCAGTCTTACCATTGTTTACTTAGCGTATGCTCTTGTAAAAGCACCTCGACCCGAACACTTTTTTGGCCCGGGGCGCTCGGAGGCTCCACTAGGGTACACTACTACCTCTCTGTTTTGTTTACTATCATATGGTGAAATTCCTTCCTACCCAACCAAAAGGATAGTTTGTTCCTTTAATTTGCCTTACGTAGCTTTGCTTTAAAAACATTCCGACCGATCGCACCCCGCCTTTCCCTACGGATACGAGCAGCCGAGCCTCGTGGGCCACGCCCTGGGCTCCCAAGGTCGTAGCCTATGGGACAAACAGGCAGGTACAAGAAGGAAAGAATAAAAAACAAAATTATGCTAAGGAAAAACTAAGGAACAAAAGGGGAACAAGCTTCCTCGAACAGAGTGACTCCATCATAGAAAACGAAACAGACCGTAGTCATTAAGCACACAGGAACGTTTACACAGGGGCTCCCCCACGAACTTAAACTTTTTACGCTCACTAAACTACTTATATTTTACAAGATACTGGACCGGCCCGGCGGCATCTACTGTCGGTGCGACCGACGAGGGCCCATGCTGCTCACTCCCCGGCGGCACGACATTCGGCTCGGTCGAAGCTGGGGCGACATTCACCTCCTACCCAG